TCTTTTTCTGGACTTACAGCTACACTAATTCCCAGGGTGTCTTGCCCATAGGCATGTCTGGATTTTAAGCCCAGAGAACATGGGTGAAAGTGATCGGCACCTCTCCCTGCCCCATAACACCCTCCACACGCAATTCTCGCTCCTGTTTCATGGCAGCCCTATAAGCCACAGAACTGCAGGGTAGAAGGACCCCAGAATACTGGGTCACCACATAGGAGAAAGTCACCTGATGATCTAGGGCACCTGTTTTGGGCATGACGTGACAAATAATCCTGTTGGTTACTCTGCTGAGATGTGAGGGTTTGTCTGGTGCGGCAGCCAGTGTTACCTCAACGAATACAATATCCAAGGAAAAATGTCCGTTTTCGTTTCCTGTTCCCTGTTGATTCTGGGCTCCTGGCAGAATCGCCCTCGCTTCCATTCGTAGATCCCACCTCGTTCCTGTTCACCTGGAGTTTGGAAAACCCTTGGTTAGGGAGTCGGCCCTAATTCTGGCGCTTTCTCCAGGCGGCGTCCCTCCAGGGTATTCATAAATGACCTGCCTGTTTTATTAGGTGAGTGTTTAAAACAAATGATGTAAGAATTGTGTGGAAGATTTCAGACTGTGGAATTCTTTCAGTCTCGCTCTCGAGGACTTTCTAGACACACACCAACATCACGCTATCTGTGTTCAGCCGTGAAGAAAATGGCTTAATCTCCTCCAGACTTATTTTCTCATGGATACACACTCTGTCTCACGAGCTAGTTATGAGGATCCAAAGGAACAGCATGAACAGCGTGCCTCGTAGCGGGCGTCGGCCATGATAGCTGCTCAATGAACGCTACTTGCAGAATTCTTAGCCTTCCTACATGGACATTGACAGTGCCTGCTACGCAAGTGACACCTTTTTCATTTCTGACACTAGCTCTGCATTCAGGGAGACCTGGAACCGGAAAACCGAGCGTTCGTGCCCCTTCCCACCTGCCTCCTCCTCCTCCATCTTTTGTTTTCTCTAACCCGAGCCTGGACAGGAAGTCCTTCTGCAGCAACCCCTCCCCTCGGCCAGCTTTGTCCCTCACTTGCTTCCTGCTCAGCTTTCTGCCGCCACCACCTGTCCACCAACTACCTTCTTCTTTTCCTTTTGTTGTTCCCATCCTGACTCTCATTCTGTCACCACAGGTCTGTCCCCTTCCTTACTTGCGATCTGCACTTCCCTGCAGCCATTGCATCTCCTTGCTGTGCCGGCTGTTTTAACTTGTGGACCGCTCCTAGCTTTCCTCACCAGGCGGGCAGCTGATTCACCTGGTGGGGGTGAGTCTGAAATAGGGGCAGATGAATGTGTTTTGAGAAAAGCAGTTTTATGTCTCATAGATGTGCAGCGTGCTGGCTGTGCGGTTGACAGAGGACGAGAAACAGCTTTTTTATGACTAAGTCTGGTAAGATCCTTAACAAAAAATATTAGTCCTCACGTTTCAATATAATTCCTGCCGTAGACAGCTATCCCTTGCAACGAGTTACATGTTCTTTTTGTTCAGCCCCGATTTAGCTTAGAAAAATCTCATAATTATCCATAAAAGTAAAGCCCCGTTTTGATGATCCTCTGAGGCGATTATTTCTAAATTCTGTTCCACATAATAATTAGATAACAGCACCAACATTGACAATAATCACCAGCTCTTACTTGAAGAGGAAGGTAAATGAGACACAGGCCTTGTCCTCAACGGATCACAGTCTGTTTTGGAAATCTGGTTCCAATTAAATTTAATTACCAGAGCCTCTTAATGTCACACTTTAGTCTACTTTGAGGAAATACTAAGTTTTTATCCTGTTTATTTTGTAATTCAGGGAGGCCTGCTAATAAGTAAAGCAAGCCATTCTCAGTTCCTCATTCTGCTATTAAGTAGCAATTAACTTCTAATTTTCTTTCTTTCTCTCCTTAATCTCCCAGCTCATTCTAATTCTGGGTAAAATGGCAGCTTTCTCATATATATATATATATATAGATAGATAGATAGATAGATAGATATAGATACACACACACACACACACACACATATGGAATTACTATCTCCATTTTACCCCGCCTCCATCCTGTTTTGATTGACAAGCAAAGAGGATGTAAACTAGGGGAAAGTTGGCTTCAGGGAAGAGGCCATCCACAGGCCATATATACTTTGGAGGATTTTCTGCCCAGCCCAGTACAGAGTGGACTGTAGCTTCTCTTCTGGGGGCGGGGGGAGGGGGGGGTGTACCGAGGGAGTGCAGAGAATACAAGGAAACACATCCTGGTTTGGAAAGAGGAAGGATAGGCCATGGGACAGATGGGGAATGCCACCCTTGGAGTCCCTTTTCCCACTGAATGCCAGCAGCGGAGAGCAGCTGAGTGACAGGCATATGGCTTCCCCAAGCAGCCCTGGGTGGCGCCAGAGAACAGTGTCTCTGGAAAGGAGGCTGGGACCCCCGACCAGGGCTAGGCTCCAGGCTCCAGGAGTGCAGGGCCAGTTTCTCCCATCTCCGCATCGTCCGTGCCTGCCGCGGAATAGGTATGCAGGAGATGTGTGTGGACAGAACACGAGGCCACTGCATTTATAATGGTTTATTGCAGCCGGCCTCCTGCTGTCTGCACTGCCTTTTTTCTAGGCCTGCTGCATTACTGTCATAATGGGACAGCCCCTGTTTTCTCTGTGGGGTTGGAGCTACCGTTTTCCTGAATCTCATTTCTTCCAGCCAATCAGCCATCTAAGCTCCTGAGGGTACTGCTCCATCAAAAAAAAAAACACGGGGTGCTCTATTGTCACCTGTCATCGCGGATCACTGATGAGAATCTTATGTTTAATGCTTATTTCTTGTTAAGTGACCTGCTCCTTTGTCTATAGATCAGCGGTTCTCACCCTGTGGGCCGCGACCCCTTTGGGGGTCGAACGTCCCTTTCATAGGGGTTGCCGGGTACTCGTATGTGGGCGTATCTGCATGTGGGCCTGGAGACGGATAGAGGAGCGGTGTCTCGGTTCCTAAGACCATCAAAAATATGTGTTTTCCGATGGTCTTAGGTGACCCCTGTGAAAGGTTGAGAACCGCTGCTATGGAGTCTAGGCATTTTGCGGAGTGTCTGCTTTGTTCTTGATGTTCTGAAACTTGGCAGCAATGGGTCTGGGTATGGGTCAAGTCTCCGTCATCCTGCCCCAGCGCGTGGTGGGGCCTTTTCATTGGAAGGTCAATGTTTCCCTTTAGCTGGGGGAAATTTTCTTTCATTTTTAAAACAGGGTTCTGCCCGTTCCAATGAATCTTTCCGGAATTTATGCTTTGTTTGATCGTCTAGATTCGACGCATACTTCTAGTAGAGTTCCTCGTGTTTATCTTCTTGCCCTTCTATTGAAAATTTAAAAACAGATGTTGGCAATCTTATATATTTAATATTCTAAAGCCTGCTCTTGTTTAATGGTGGTTGTTCTTTGTCAATCCTATCAGGCCTCTTGGGGGGGGAGAGGGGGAGGAGGTTGTAATGGCTGCAATATGTGAGCTTATCCCTAAGGAAGAAAAAGGGAAGAGGTCCCAGGAAGAGGACCCAGAGTGACGGGTCAGCACAGAGCATGGCCTCCCCTGTGTGGCCAGCTGCTGCATGCCAGCCCACACCCCACCCCCAGGAGGCCATCCTGGAGAATGTGGGCATGGGGTGAAGGGCAGTTTCAGCTGCTGCGTCTCCTTCAAGGAAGAGTTGGAGTCAGGACTCTTTGTCTCTCAGAATGGAGCTCAAATCGGGGGAAAAATAGAGATGTGGTAGCATCATATGTCAGCCAAGCTGAGAAAACTAGATGCCAAGAAAGATACGTGTGAAAGGGACGTGGGCCGAGCCGGGCCAGCACTGCCAAGGAAAATCCATGAGGCAGCCAGGTGTCTTCGGCTGAAGGGAGATGCCTGGGGACACCTCCCCCAGGCTCTCCCATGGGACCCAGCAAATAACAAAGGGAGGATTTGGGTCTTTCTGGTAACAGTCTCCATTCAGGGACGCTTAAGACATTTCAGTGCCCATACTCACCATCCACGCAGAGGGCACCAGGAGTAGGGGCCCGCCCAGGAGAAGGCACACAGGAGAAAGACAGGACAGCTGACCTCGAAGGCCAGGACAGTCTCAGAGGGATACATCCACCCTGGAGAAGTGAGGGGAGGAGGCCCTCACGTGCGTGTTGAATCCTCAGGAGGCGGAGGGGATCCGTGCTGCAAACTGAGAGAGGCACAGATTCCAGCGGGCAGTGGGGGGCTGGAGGAGACCTCAGGGGAGGCAGTCCATTTGGGGAAGATGGCGGTGGGCATTTGAAAGAGAAAAAGAGGAGTCTGCAGATCAGCTGAGGAGGGACGCAGAGTGTTAAGTTTCCTACTGCTGCTGTAACATTACGCAAACAGTGGCTGAACACAACAAAAAAGCGTTATCTTATTGTGGCGGTCAAAAGTCTGAAAATGGGTCTTCTGGGACTCAAATCAAGGTGTGGGCAGGACACTGTTCTTTAGGGGGTTGCTGAGGAGGGCGCAGGATCGCACAGTAGACGTGGAGGTGGCCATGGTTCAGCCTTCTTCCCCAGCTCTTCCAGCGCTCCTAATGCCTCTGAGGTGTGAACCTGGGAGGTGAGGTCCCTGCAGCTGTCAGCACAGGGGAGCCAGGAAACTGGGAGAGACCAGGGAAGGAAGGGGCCTGCTCGGGTCAGGGGTCAGGGGTGGGCCGGGGACAGATGGCCTCTGGGGCTGTGGGGGGCTTAGAGGGCGGGGAGAGGAAGGTCGGTCCACCGCTGAAGCCTGGAGCCAGAGGCTCTGGAGTGGCCCTGGAGCATCAGGGTCAGGACCTCCTTTCTGGGAGATGAGATGTGAGGGGACTGAGGACAGTCACATGGCCACACTGAAGAACGGATGCATAGGAGGTCTAGAACAGAATATTTGTCAGTCTGAGGCCACCGTTTTTTGTTTGTTTGTTTGTTTGTTTTTAAAGAATGAGAGTTGTAGACTGTGGGTGTGGCAGGAGAGAGGAAGAAGGAAGAGGGGAAGCCTTGGAGAGGAGCCCGTGACGGCTGAAAACAGACGGAACGCCCTGGAATTGCACAGGTGAACAAGAGCTGTCTTGGGAACTCGGACGGGGCATTGGGCCAAATCATAAAATACATGTATTTGTTCTTATACGATCATACCGTTCGTGAATGTGCTCTACTTTTCATCTTGAGATCAGGGTAGGAAACAGGAGTGTGTATTCTCTAGCAGAGGCTATTCCAGGAAGAGCGTGCTGTAGCGCACCTGTTGTAATGATTCTTGTTGCATGGCATCTACCCGCCTGCCTCACCCCTGGGCTTGCTGCATCGCTGCAGATGTAGTCAGTACAGGACAGTTATGCTTGGTAATTCATTGAGTGTTTCAGGGACCATAAATTGTCATTTTAAAGGGGCCAAAAGTTTGACGTGCCGAATGAAGCATCTGTCTTTCACGACATCTGGAGGTTTGGACAGCAGGCAAGGGAGAGCAGACATTTATAATTGGACAGGAAGGAAATAATCACAGCATTTCAGGACTTTTTTTTCAGCATGTTATTCTCTCCTCTTTTTCATTCAGCCACCCCTCACCCCCTGTCTTCATGTTCCTACTGGTAGGATCTCCCCTCTGCTGTTGACTGTAAAGCATTGAATAAGGGGGTGACCCATGGGCTCAGAGGATGGGGGGTCTTGTCCTCTTCCACTTCCTTCCGGGTATATGACTTCCAGCAGTGACCTAACTTTTTGAACTTCAGCTCTTCAGTTAGTAAAGCGAGAATAGTAGTAGCATGTGGTCTTTTATACCCCTTTCACTCATTGTTTTGAGGACTGAGATACTGTTTGCAAGATCACTTTCACAGCCCTCACATTCTACAGAGCAGAGCTGAGACGCTAAGCGTGTGGGAAAGGGGTGGCAGGAATAGCAAGGATGATCCAGGATCGATTGAGAGCTGGGGGCTGGGTCAAGAGGCATCTGGCATGAAGGTCATGTGAAGAAGTGAGTGAGGGCTTCAGATGGTTTTAAGTAGGGAAGTGCTTTTCAGATTTAGATTTTAAGTACATGACTTTCAAGTCCGTGGAACGTGCATTTCTGGAGGACAGGTTGAGAGGCAGAGAGGCCAGAGAAGAGATTGGTAACATAAAGATAATGATTGTGAGAACTAAGACAGTGGCAGGTAGTTGGGATGGACAGCAGAGGAAAAATAAACTCAAGAGGTAAAGTCAAGGGCACATGATGACTGACTGACAGGTAGGAGAGAAGGGGAAGGCAGGGGTCAGTGAAAGGAGATTTGGGGTTTCGGCATGGGTATTTGGGTACCATGAGGTCACATTTTCTGACAATAATAAAAACTAAGTTCAAATATCAAGGTCAAAAGATAACTGAAAAAAATCTCATCCATTTGGAAATTAAAAGCACTTGTAAATAATTCAGAAGTCAAAGAGGACATCATAATGAAACTCAAGTGTATTTGAAATAACAAGGAAACATCAGAACTTGTATTACAGCTAAATTTGGTAGAGGGACATTTCAAGCCTTAAATGCTTATACAAGAAAAGAAGAAAGGTGGGCTCGCCGAGTGGCACGTTGGTTAAGAGTTGGCTTGGGATGCCAGCTCTGAGCAGCAGAGCCCCAGTTCGGATCCGACATGAGGGCCAGTGACACTGACCTCTACAGCTAAGATGGTGAACAACAGCTCGACCTGGAGCTGGGCTGCTGGGAGTCGCCGGCAACCGCGTAGGCTGCAGCCCCTGCTGCAGTGGGCTGCCGTAAGCTACCGTGTGTGGCCCGCAGCCAGCATGAGCTACCAAGAGCCACCTTGAGCGGCTGTACAGTGGCCAGCAACTGATCTGCCTCACCCGGGAAGAGCGCAATGATAATACCAACATGGGCCAGTGAAGCGACGTCCTCCACAACTAGACTGAAGAACAAAAGGACAGCAACTTGTCTGTTCCCGCCCCCCAATTCCCCAATAAAATATTTTTTAAAAAAAGAAAAGAAAAGAAGAAAGGCTTAAAATTAATGGCCTAAGTAATTCTAAGTATATTATAAAAATGAAGACAAAATAACCTCCGCAAAAGAAAATAGTTAAAGGTAAGATAAAAATTATTTAACTAGAAGATGAAGGACAATAGAGAAGATAAAGTCAAAGTTTGTTGTTTGAAAAGATTAATAATATTGATAAACCTTTGGCAATATTGATCAAGAAAATTAAAAAGCTGAGAGAAGCAATATTAGAAAGAAAAAGGCCACATGACTACTGCAGAGATTAAAATATAATGAGATACCCAAATATATGGTGATGGAAGGAAAACTGACTCTGGGTGGTAAACACTCAATGTGCTATATAGATGATGTATTATAGAACGGTACACTTGAAACCTATGTAATTTTACTAACCATTGTCACCCCAATAAATTTTAAATATATATGAATAATGAGATACTATTATGAATAACTTTGTGTCCCATTTTTAAAAACTTTGGTAAAAAGGAACAAATTCCTAGAAAAATATAACTTATCGAAACTGACTCAAGAAAAATGGAAAACATAAAATGTCCTGTAACCATTAAGGAAAGGAATCAGTAGTTAAAAGCTTTCCCCAAAAGAAATATTTAAGTCTAGAGTCTTTATAAGTGAGTTCTTACAAACAATCAATGGACATATAGTTCTGGTCTCACACAAACTATTCCATAAAATAGGAAAGAAAGGAATTTCCTCCCACTCATTTAATGAAGCAAGTATAACATTGATATCAAAACTAGACAAAGACGGTAAGAAAAATGAAAACCTCAGGCGTGTTTCCAACATGAACTAATGAACAAAAAATTAGAAAGCTGAATCCAGCAATGCATGGAAGTGACAATTACATCATGACCAAAGCGGATTTATCCCAGGAATGTAAGAATAGTTTAACATTAGCAAATCTATTCATTGTCCTGCCGCATTCACTGATGAAAGCAGAAAACCCTGCGGTCATTTGAATAGATGCAGGAAAAAACAGATAAAAAAATTATACATTCATTCATGGTAAACTTTTAACAAAGGAGGAAGAGAAGGGAACTTAACTTCCTTAACCAGTTAGAGATTATCTGCAAAGATGTACTGCGAAGATCAAGAATTCCTGCCCTCATAGCATTTGCAATCAGGGAGAGACAGACACAGCTACAGCTCTGAATCCCACAGGCATTGTGAAGTCCTCTTCCCAGAGAAGAAACGAGGAGTCACATCCATTAAATGTCACCACACGGAAATTCTTTTTATACAATAAAATTGTTCAAACAGTCCCTTTCTGTGACCCAACAGTGCAATCTTCCTGCTCTCAGTGCACATTTTGTCTGTAATTATCAAATACTTTGCTGAACATCAAGCTGCACTATGCCATTTACCTAGTCTATGTGACATTTTGACTCAGATTTTTTTTTTTTAATTCTGGGGACATTTTGACATGCTTTTAAAGCTGTAATAGATTTTTTCTTTATTGTTGCATATCGTGTTTACAGATGACTCACCACACCCAGGGCCTTAACCATCCCTGTGCCTCAAGGACATTGGAGGCTCAGGAATGGGGTGAGAAATGGAGAGAAGGCGAAGAATGGGCTGAAAGGATATTAAAGAGTAAAGGGGAATAAGATAAGAAGGTCCACTATGACCTTTATTCAGTAATAAAAAAAAATACTTAGCAGTTGAATGTTGTTTTGCTTAAGGGTGAATTGATAAGTATAAATGTCAAACTCTCCACTCTGATTCCTGAGTTTCACTTCATTCTTGAGGGCAGTACCTTCAGAAAACTGAGTGTGGCTTCCTGATGGGGGAGGGGACTCTAGCTTACCTTACTTGATAAGAAAATGCTTAACGTTTTTTGAATGCCTTTTTAAAAATTTCATGTTTGTGTTTGGTCACTTTATTATTGTTTTTCAAAAGTACCCGTCCCAGTTTACTCAGGGAGGAAGGTCCTTCACCACAGATAGTTTCGAGAAACACTAAAATAGACTCCATTAAAATCAAGAAATGCTATTCACAAAAAAGGCACTAGAGAAAAATGAAAAGACAAACTGCACAATGGAAGAAAATGTTTGCAACACACACAACTGACAAAGACCTAGTATCTCAAACGTATAAAGAACTCATTCAAATCAATTAGAAAAATGGGCAAAAACTTGAAGAGGAACTTCATAGAAAAAGAAGTCCTAATGTCCAATAAACATATTAAAAGGCCTCCACCTCATTAGTCATCAGGGAAATGAAAATTAAAACCACAATGAAAACCACACATACAGTCACCAGATTGGCAGAAACTGAAAAAGCCCCACACGCCTAAATGTTGGTGGGGAGACTGCGCATTGCAGGACTTGCATTGCATATGAGAGTGGACATTGGTTAAGTGCCTTTGGGAAACCCATTAGCAGTATCTACTGCAGGCTGACCCAACAGTTCCTGGGAACCCACCAGTAATGCGTCACATAATAAACGACATACACAAGCGTATTCACAGAATCATTATTCCTAGTAGCCTCAAATGAAAACAGTCTGGATGTCCATCACCTGTAGAAAGCATAACTAAATTGTGGTGTTAGCCATGTGTGGAATGCTCGACAGCGGGTGTTCTCAAAGCATCAGCATCAGCGTTGCCTGGGAATGTGTCAGGTCCCACTGCAGACCTGGTGACCCAGGAACTCTGGAGGTGAGACCAGGGCTGTTGTAACAAGCCCCCCATACGATGCTAGAGCACGTTAAAGACAGAGGACCACCGTTCTACAGTGATAAAAATGAATGTGCTGTAGTTGTGGGCAGCGCCATGGATGAGCATCAGATGTGTCCTGTTGTCCTAGGGTCGTCCATGTTCCCCCTAAGGAATCAGCAGGGTATGTCAGTGGGTGACTCCTCTGTAAATTCAGGCATGTCTCCATGCCATGCTGGTTCTCATCCAGGTAGTCAGCCCCACCTGAGGCCAAAGTGTCACGGTGGAAAATCCAAATTAAACTGAAAACCTCTCCCTTTCTGACCATCCTCAGAGCCGAACCAAATCGAACCAAACCACAGTTCATGTTAGCAGATAACCCTTTTGAAGTGGTGACCCTTGT